AATCCTTCCTTTGTTGTAAGGGGAAGGATCAACAATGTCAATAATAGTATTTTTGCATTTTGCTGTGATTGGCTGCCCACAAGGTACCGAGCGGCTCGGATCACTCTTTCTATGTACCAAACCATCCAATGAAGGCTTGATACACAGAAAATAGCAGGTGAAATGGCAGCGTATGAGTCTTTTCTTCAGGGGCGCATATACACATTTGTGGGGAATCAACAGTTCACTGTTCACAAATGTACGCTGGCAGAAAACAGGTTAAAGTGACTACCAGCATTGCCAGTAAAATCTGTGTCTAACATTCCCAAACTAAAATTGAAGAGTTCTTTATAGCAGAACTCCAGTCAAAAATGTATTTAACCCTTTCAGTGGGGCTACCCCCGCAATGCAAGGGTTAACTGCTCGTTTTTGTCTAGATGCTAAAAAAAAAAAAAATTACACTCACCTGAAATGCGGAGTTGGTTGGCTGCTACTCTGGTCCCTGAAGCCTGTCTCCTCCTCTGCTGCAGTGATGGTATGTCCCTCTGTGTCCTCATGTCCTATATACTATGTATAGAATGTGATGACTCAGTATCTTAGATCGTTGTAGCAGAGGGGGAGAGAGACTCCATGGAACGACCTAATAGCAAGCGGGCTCCAAGGATCAGTTTTTTGGGGGGTTTTTTAGCACCTAGACAACAACAAGCACTTAACCCGTGCAATGCGGGGGTAGCCCCACTGAAAGGTTTGAGTACATTTTTGCCCAGTGTTCTGCTTTAAAAGCTGCTGAAAGCTTGCCGTATGCGTGCTGTACACACTGCTGTTCCCGTGTGATACACAATGGGGGGAATTTATCAAAACTGGAGCAGACAAAATGAGGAGCAGCTGTGCGTGGCAACCAATCAGCTTCTATCTTCAGTTTGTCCAGTTAAGATTTGAAAATGAAAGCGAGAAGCTGATTGGTTGCCATGCAGAACTGCTCCAGAATTTGTCTGCTCCAGTTTTGATAAATACAATATATTAATTTCACACATAGGTATATAGCCCACGTATATTCATTGTATAATATGCTGTGAATCCATTAAAACATGTGTTTTAATCTGTGAGCTAGATTCAGATATACGCAGCTATTCTTTGGGGCTGATTTACTAAAAGACTAGAGTCTGTTCACTTAGTAAAGTAGATGTTCACGTAACGTAGAGAATAAGGTAAAGTTGTGTTCACTTTGAATACCCAATCACGTGTAAGGGAAAATTAAAACAGAGGGGTCTTACTTGCACGTGATTGGGTATCTGTAGTAAACACTGCTTCAATGGATTTACTTAGCTAATTAAACAGATACTATATTAAAGAAGAACTCCAGGAGAACGTTCTCTTAACCCTTGCAGTGGGGCTACCCCCGCACTGCAAGGGTTAACTGTTCATTTGTGTCTAGCCTCACCCAGCTGGCTGTTAGAGCGCTCCCACCAGCTTCTCTGCTCCTCCGCTGCAGCATTGGAATCTTCCTCAGGGTCCTCAGGTCTACGCAGTGTATAGATGTGATGATTTATGGGACCCTAAACGGCTGCAGAGGAGGGGGAGAGACACTCCAGGGATCGGTCTATGAACAAGCCGGCTGAGAGCATCAGGTGAGTATAACTTGTTTTTTTTTTTAAACAGCAGTGGTAGCCCCACTGCAAGGGTTATTTATTTTCCTGGAGTTCTTCTTTAAAGTAAGTCTGGGCAAAAAAAAATCAGTGTATCCCTGCAATACATGCAGATTTCCCCATGTTTGGTCACTTTAAAGTACACAAATATACCTGTTGATCCTGCCACAGGTCCATCGAGTTCCTAACCAGTGTTTGAGCTGCCAACGCTGCCACTGCTGCATTAAAATCCCAAGCAGTTTTGCCAGCCATGGCCAGTTCTCTCCTGATGCACTACAAAACAGCTACCTCTACTCATTTCCATAACATATGGGGGATGTGTTCTGTAGCCCAGCAGATGAGAATTGGGCAGGGCCAGGGATTTCTGTGCAGCAGAGGCAGTGTGTCATCAGCTCAAACAGGACATTAGGAGCTCCCTGGATCTGGCAGGTCAACAGTATTTTTTTTGTACTTTAACTGCTTTTAAAGCAACAAAACATGAGGAAACATGCATCAATGGTGTACTGAATATGGTTTTTTTTGCCCAGGACATATACTTGTGAACAAATTCTACTGAAAAAAAAATCAACCCCACTGACTTCAATTCAGTGATGTCACTCACAGAGAAGGTTTCTCACCCTGACGTTTTACTTTGTAAAAGATTATTTGATTTGTTTTATATTTAAGGACGATTATCAAATTTAGTGCATTCAATGTATGCATTTTTTTATTGTTGTACTTTATTCTTAAATGTATACTTCATTCTTTATGTTTAAAAATTGTGGGAAAGAAACACCAGATTTGAACTTACATCTTGGGGGCAAGTTAGTTGGTATGGGCAATGCAGATATTTCTCTTTACTATACCGTATGAATCAGTTTTATGATTCATTGGGGTTTAGCACTGCATTTGAAAAGATTGATGCACAGAGCTCTCACGGAACTCCTGTATCTATAGCAGAATTTCAAACACCTACATGAAAGCTCAGCACAGAATGTTACTGCATATGCATAACAGCATTTGTTCAGTACAGAATGCAATTTAAGCTTTCCTACACAATAGCCATGGTATCAAGTTATGTCTATCCAGATGTGCATGGCATAGACAGTAAAGGGTAGCTGTATTTGACCATCCAAAAGGTATCTTTTCCAGCTGCTGGGCCCCTAGACTGAAGGCAACTGCTTGTATGCAGCCTGCTGTATACACCTCTTGTACTGATATATCCAGAATATAACAATAGGGAGCCTACAAGGATTTCTAACTCATCTGATTGCTATTCCCTCAAAATGCCATGGCCTTGGTTGATTTGCAGGTGCCTCAGACATTAGATCACCTTCTGATCCAGCCAGGGTATAAATGGAAAGAAAAAATCATAAGCTGCCCATACACCTTACAACCATGCATGACTTTGGTTGTGCGATGGTTGTAAGGTAATTAAAATTTCGTACGATCTGCCCATCTTGGACAGGCAGATCGTACTTGCGATCATCGCAAGCCCGCCCCGCTGAGGGGAGGGCTTCTGATGATTGCAGTGCTGAGCAGGCCCGTGCGGCATTCGTCTCCCGACCATGCCACCAACCAGCCGAACATCGTACAACTTTCGGCAGGTTTTTCAAGCGTGCTCGGAAGACGAATGTCGTGTGACTGTACAGTAGAAGAGGTCGCACGCTGCCCATACACCTGGCGATTATCGTACGATAATCGCCAAGTGTATGGGCACCTTTATACATGAATAATTAAAATGAGTGTTACATGCCAAATGCAATGTAAAATGATAATAAATACGTCGGTGACATATACTGCAGTATTGCATAAAAGATTTGTGATGGTGGAAAAAAACAATTTGTGCCATAAAATGAAAATACTGGCCTTGTAACATGACATGATGATGCATGAAATACTGTATTTGTGTCTACTGTATGTAAAGTCTGTATAATTACATGGGACATTATACAAAAACATGGTAAGATGACCTCCATCTATTTAATATTATCTAGCCCATTCCATGGTGTAAGGATAAGAAACAAAAGACTGTAAGGAATAGCAAGCAATCAGCATTCATCTCTTAATGATTTTAGTTCAGTAAAATAATATCTCATTAGTTGCTACCAATGTTACTAAACTTTGCATATTATCACTGCTGCCGTTATTGCTTTAATAAATCCCACATACTAGGTAGGTACCGTTCTGGGGAGTGCTACATTTTGCCATATATCATTTGGGCAGCCCAAGCCTGTTCACTAATCCTATTTAAAGTAAACTTTACCTGAATTAAAACAAAACATTAAGCTGAACTGGCATATAGTAAGCACGATGACATGGTAGACCTTGCACTCCATGTTGCTAGAATACTTTTGTTAATGTCACCAAAATACCCTGATAG